ATCTCCTCTCTTCTCATCTGCCGTCTCACGTGTCTTGCGCGTGCACGTACACCAGCAGCCCCCCGCCGCGTGGGGGGGGGAGGGGAATGTGGGGGAGGGGAAGTCCACATATCTCAGAGTTGCTATGGTTGAGAAACACTGCTTTAAAGAGTACTTATGCCTTTCCAATTAACCTAAAATTAAAACCTTCTACACTTAGTCCAACTGGAGGCTGTGACTTTTAATTACAGCTGCCATACACTATTCCTCTGGGTTCTGCTGACACCAGGTTGTGGGTGTTGTTCTGGAAAAAAAATTCTGCAATTCCATTTCTCCTGGGCACACTTGTTGAACATCCTTTTGCCAACAAATGCATTGCTTCTGAATCAAACCTTCTTGGGAGCAGAACAATTACAGTACCAATAAAAGCAGAACAGTGAGAAGGGAAACAGCCATTCTGGTCCCCTGTTCAATCTGTTCTACACCTGCTATTTATGTGCGCTTTATTTATTTATTTATTAAACAAATGTATACGGCTGCCCAACTGACACGTGGTGACTGCAGGTGGCTTACAGAATTAAAACCAATATAAAAACCAATATAAAAACCAATACCCCCCCCCCCGGCAGCAACAAACACAATCAAATCAACCACTTGATTGGCTCCGTATCAGCCTGGGGTCCCCAGGCCCACTGGCAAAACTGTGTCTTCAGGGCCTTCCGGAAAAGTATCAAGGTGGGGGCCGGTCTTATCTACAGGGGAATGATATTGGACCATGGAGAAGATCCTTTTTCTGGGCCCCACTAGATGGACCTCCCTTATTGAAGGGACCCACAACATACCCTGCCTCCCCACTCTGGTGGGCCAGGTAGATGCACCTGGGGAAAGGCAGTCCAGGTAAGTATGCAATTATGAAAACTAAACTAACCACACACCTCATATTTCCTCTTACCAGAAATGCTAACATATCATACTAGTTCCAGTCCCCAGAGCTGAAGGTGTTTATTTCCAGCTAAATTCCCTTTTCTTTAATAAATGGTACCTTTTAAAGAAAACATATACATAATCTTCAAATGCTGAGGATATTTACACTCACACCTAAGTTGCTATACTTGAATAGATCAGATGCAACTAACCTAGCAGCTCTAACACTGTAATTGCTTTTCCCCATTGTAACACCAGCATTTATAGCTTGCACAGAGACGCCAACATTTACCTGTCCATCCTGAATCCTCGGCTGTAAACTCTCTTAGGCAAAGCAAGGTGATGCCAATGGAATAAACCAACCCCCCTTCCGTCAACCTGAGCATCGTCTTTCCAATGGTCTGGGAAGAGGGATCGCCCAAGAGATGAAGAATGACAGCTCCGCCACTATTAGCCTCCGCGTTTGCAAGGACATTGGGCACAAGCCCCTTGAATTCGTGCGCCTACTCAAGGCCATTTTTAAAGCCCGCCTACGAGGGAAGCCATCCTTCCGCCCATTGGTCGGTGGTCTTCCCGGTATCAATACCGTATGATGTGAAAGCACCACAAAAGATGCAAGCGAGAAAACCAACCCTTCTCCCCCACTTCCTCTCACCTCCCGTTTTAAAACTGATCAGAACCTGCTGCGGTTATTATTTCTCCACGCCTACGGCGCGATGGACTACGCGTGCAATCTTTTACGTCCATCCAGTTTCTTTTTAAGGAGCCCCTTCAGATTCTAAAATCCGTGACAGTGGTTCTTTCCCCTTCTGCCTTCATTCTAAAGTACTGTATAAGATGCGAATCGAGCAAACAGCCCCGAGCAGCTCCAACCTTGCGGACAACGCGCCGCGCGCGTTCCACAGACCTCCCGGAGGAGACCGCATTGCGAGCCTGCATGCGCAGTAGCCAGAATGTCCCTTTGGGGCATTCGGGTGCGCCCTCTGGTGGCGAGTCTAGATATTGCTGGATTCCAGAAGCGGCGCCGGTGAAGGAGGGGGAACGGCAGGCGTTCTTCTTCATTTCTCCTAATATCTGCAATAATATTTTTCTCCATTTTCCTTTTCATGGACGTCAATGGTGTGGGGAAACCCCAAATCCTGAAATCATCCTTGGGATTATATTTTAACTGATAAGTTCTGCCTGGCATGAAAAGCATTGGTTCACAGTATAAACCAACAACCTTAGCAAATTTAGGCTTCAAGTCCCAGAATTCCCCAGCCAGCACTAGCTGGGGAATTCTGGGATTTGAAGTCCACACATCTTAAAGTTGCTAAGGTTGAGAAATACTGGTCTAAACCATACTTCTTATATGATCAACCCCAACTCCAAGATAATACTGTTTCTGGGCCAAGTACCTCTCCAACTATATCTGTGCATTTGACTTCCTTTTTCTAAGTGACCAAGTTCCCACTACTCTAAGTGAAAAGACTTATTTAAAAGAAACGACTAGTGCCAGCAGCATACACTGTGTCGGTCAAAGTTAGCAAGATGGCAGAAAGAGTCACTTTGGCATATGTAAAAAAGGTTGGCCTTTGCGTCACAACACTCCATTCGCCATGATATCACTGTTGACCCACCCTCACCAAACTGGGAAAGAAAGGCAAGTGGTTTGCTGTGGTTGATGGTTCTGTCACCAGGTTTTCTGCTACTTCTGTTGACAAGGATTTTGTGTGGCCATGTTTTTTACTGTTTTTAATCCCTTGGGGGCACAGCACTTTTTTTGCCTACTCCTACTCCCTTTTACCTACTGCACGGGCTATTTGCAGGTCCTGTTGGCCACAGCCCCTGGCTGCAAGCACTGACATGCCCTAGTCAAGAGGAGAGTGTGCTTGTTTTCAATTGCTCTCTCCCACTTCAAACTGGCTGGGCTTTTTTGAGTGTAGGTTTAGTCTCTTTTAGAAGCACACTCAACCAATGTTCAGAAATGGAATGATTGACAGATCATGGTGCAGAGCGACTCAACAGGTAGCTAATCTAGCCATTCTAAGCTCCCTTGTATACCTCCTCATTTCTACCTCACCCACACATTATGATGACCAATTGGTAGTTGTTTCTCCCGCTTGCAGGTTCCCCCAGTGTAAAGGAAAGGAAAGCAGGGGCCCACCAGTTTCCTTCCTTGGCTTCTTCCTCACTGAAGCAGTAAGGACAGAGCCACTGGCGGCCTTGTTCCTGAGGCAAAATGGGGATCAGCAAGGAGGGCAGCACAATTTAAACTGGCTTTCATGTCTGCTGGCTCAAGGCATGGCTGCCTAATGGGGCCCTAAGCAGTGGTGCCCATGGGAATGGCAAAGGGAGTCAGACTGTCTAAAGCAGTGTTGCCCCTTTTCTGCATCCATCATGACATCACATGAATAACCAAAAAGGGTGGAGCTTGCAGTGTGACCCCAAAACATGGTGACAAAAGCAGCAAGATCCTCCAGATGCTGCTGGCCTTAAGGCATCCTTAAGGCCACAACAACCCCTCCCCCCCCAAAAAAGGGAATACTTCTGGCTGGTTCAGTAACCAAACTCTTCTAGTAAATTCATGTTGTAATGTAACTGCTGAGTGACTGTGATTTTAAATTGCAATTAAATATGCCTTGGATCACAGGGCATTATTGTCATGCACAATTCTTAGAAGCCATTTGAGAAATGGGGAAATGAGGGGCCCACAACTGTGGAGAATCATCCTCTAGCAATCTTCCAGTTGGATTCAGAGGGGCAGACCAATCTCAAATGGCCCACCTGGCCAGGAACCAGTTGAGACAATAGGAGGCTGATTGAAGCTGTGCTGTGCAGTCATTTTATGGTGGGTGTTTGGTAGAGAGATGTGACTCAGTGGGAAAACCAGGAAATGGCTTCTTGGAGCTCCTATTGGAAGCCTGACCTTTGGTTCTGCCAACATTATGAATATGTCCTCAGTCTAGAAGAGCTTTCCCTGGGGCTTAATTTTCCATCCCCTTCTCTCTGACAAATATCCTGGATGTGCTGGCAAAATGGAATTTCTGCTGCAGAAGTGACTTGTAATTCATTCTATGCCTTCCAGCATCTTTGAGTTAGGCTCTCACTTGGTTTCTGTTAAAATCAATGGGTTTTAAGTTGAGCCTGGGCCAATTTTTCATACTGATTTCAATGAGACCCAAGAACTCAACTGTAGTGTAATAGATAACTGAAAAGATAGAATGTAACAGAAGCAAATAGCATATTTCATCCATTTGGAACTCTGATTTTAATCTGTAAAATAGATGGGCAACTATCTAAGCAAAGAACTAAGTTTTACTACTCCAGATTGATGGGTCTTTAATTTTAAGGCTTAGGAGAGAAATTAATTTAACTCTTTGTGAAATGCTTTTGTACAAAATGTATGAGGCTACACAAGCCTACATACTTCATTTACTATTCAACTTTGTAAGGGTTTTATTGATTTCCTTTTTTATATACTGTAGAAGCCTGTACATTCTTTTTGTGGAGACAAGCCATAGTAAATTTTGTTGGAAGGAATGCATGGGAAACATTTTTGAAAGTAGTTTACATATGAGATCCACTGACCATTGGAGTTAGAACCAATAAATCAAGAGAAGAAAGAAATGGCAAATTCATTTGAAGAATTCAGTTTTCATTCTGAACATCAGGACCTATTCTCAATGTCCTGAAATTATTATTTTGTGAATGATCAGTGTTGTATTTCAGGCATCTGCCATTGTGGGCTGTAGCCCACAAAAGCTATACAGTAATAAATCTTTTGGGTTTGGTAAAACAATGTCCTTCAGGCAGTTGAAGATTTGGTGGTTTTAATGGAAAATATTATCCAGAAGGCAATGGATCAAGCATTATGTCTACAAACATTTCCTTTGATTAAATGGAAATACATCCAGAATGTATGTATGTTATAAACAGTCTTCTTAACTAGACGAACTGCAACTCTAGGTTGCTGCATCTTCCAATGCTCCATCTTCAGAGCTGACCAGATGGTCACAGGCAATTTTCTTTCATGCTAAATGGTGGCTCCAAGCATGAGAATACATAAAGGAATCCATCTGCAAGGGAAGATGATGTCCCAAGTAGGTATTTTTTCTGGTTTGTTGTTTGGAATAGAGAAAAGCAGCACTGGCTTGGAACCTGTTGAAAAAGTTTGGTATGGTTCTATGATAGATAGAAACAGGTCCTTAACTTGGAGTCTTCCAATATGTTTGACTACAACCTCCAGAATACCCAATCAGCATAGCCAAAAGATTGAAGAAAGATTATTCTAAGCAGTGGCAGCTGTTGTTAGGCAGATTAAAATCTCATTTGAATTGAGTTCAAATCTTGTTGACTTGTGGAGACTTCTATGTCTTTTTTAGGGTGGGGGCAATAATACTTTCTTCTGATATTTTTGTGTTTTCCAATTTAGCTTATGGCTCTAGTATTTCTTGATAGTCTCTCATCCAATTTTAACCAGGTCTGATCTTAATTAGCATTTCAAGATCAGTCTGGTCAGCTAGGTATAAGGTTATGGATACAAATGGGCTGGAAGTATAAAAAATCAATGAGTATAAACTTATTCTACTATAGGGGAGCAGTTGGATTAACAGAAGCAGTGAATAGCTGCCCTCTCATCCACAGAAGCGGAATACATACCTGCAGACAATAACTTGGTTACACAAATTAATCCCACAATCATGCATGAGGACAATAAAAATTGTATTCTGATTTCCAAATCAGAGAAAATTACTCTGCATGTAAAGCACACTGGTGCCAATTACTATTCTGGATGAGATGCACAGCTGAATGGGACTGATGAGCTGATGTACTACTCCACAGAAAAGATGGTAACAGACATACGTACAAGCTACTATCAAGAGACCAGTTTAAAGACCTTCATGAAGTGATGAGAGTTATGAATTGGTGCAACAACTTTTGAGAAGTGTAATGTTAGAATTCAACTTTGCATGTACCAGTGTTTTGCACCTATAAACTTATCAATCACTCAGGAGAATAGATGAGAGTTAGTAGAAGATCTCTGCAACTTTGTTGTTGTTGTTGTTTAGTCGTTAAGTCGTGTCCGACTCTTCGTGACCCCATGAACCATATTGCGCCAGGCCTTCCTGTCCTTCA